TTCCGCACTTTTTAATTCCACATTTATTTCTATGGTGTGATTTGGTTTATACGATTTTTATTCTTTGTGAAAAGAGTTTTTAAAAATATCAATTCACCCCCCCTCTTGGTTAGCTTGGGACTAAGTTTATAGGGCTTAACATCCCGAACGAACTTTCATTCTTTTCTTGTTATAAGACATCTCCCTGCCTGCGGGTAGAGTCCGGATAATCTGGCCTATGAGGATGAAGTGCCGGACCTAGGGAGATTCAGTCTTTTCAAAAAAATTATTTTCTATAAGCCTGTTTTTAAAATTCTATAGCATTCATGAGTTGACATTTCAACTAGCATGCATTGCATTAGAAGCCAATTTAATTAAAATTAAATTGCATTAGTTAGAGGCATCTGACCCATATAAGTCCAGGACCACTTAGAAAATTCTCTAGATGTCGGTCTTATTTTCAATAACTGTACCACCCATCCATCTCTCATAAATTGACTTGACAACATGGTTTTAAAGCGATTAGGGGGTTAGTTGGCTCCCCAATTCAGGCAGGGATAAGTCCAAGTTTTGCACTGCATTAGCTAGGACACGGGTCTTAGTGTTTCGTAGAACACTAACCCCAACCTAGATTTAGGATTCGAGGCTACTACATTCAGTCTCGTAGTACGCCTTAAATAGTAGGTAGGTTCCTTCCTTTTAGGGACCATAAATCCTACTTATCTGCGTCATAGGATGACGCCACCTCCATCTTTCTCTCACACATGTGATTGATTGCTTATCTTTCTTTCTCCAGTTTCTCTCTAGTACCCTAGAGCCTCCGAGTGCTGGTATGAGCCACGCATGTTGATTCAGCCCTTAGAACATTTCTTCCTTTTGGATAGGATTTTTTAGTCTATACCCATGTGCCAATCCCACTTTAGGAGAGGATAATGTATGATCCTTAATCGAGAGTTTTCTCAGGCTCCGGCCTGGGATGTAATTAACCACGGGGGGCTTGCGCCAGTGGAAAACTCGGTCCCACATCTACTAAACCCCATTTGAACTGTTGTATCGGATGGGGGAAACCCGTGATTAGGTCGTGTATATTACTACCCATCGGGGTGTGTTGACGACAGCCTCTATCCTCAATGGTTAGTCGTATGTACGATCCAATATGTTCCTTCCAATTGACCCGTTCACGCGGTGTTCTTTCGGAGGTCCACAGTTTGATGTTTTTAAAATTTTGTATTTTCTCTCTATATGTGTTTGTGAGTGCTATGTGAATGTATAAATGCATGAAATTTACTATGAAGCAGATCCCAGGGGTATGTGTGCATGAAATTAAAAATTTGAAATTTTGTCTTAAGGAACAATATGACACTAGGTTTGGGGGCGTTGAGGCTTCAAGCTCCTGGGTTTGTTCATTTTAAAATGATATGGGTTGGCGCAACATCGTCGTTGTATGGAGCACTGTAGTGTTAGGTCAATATTTTATAAAAAAAAAAATCTACTTTAAAAAGTCATTGACAAAATATTCCCCAAGTGAGGCAGCCCGTTATAGAGATAAAATGAGAGAATTCTAATGAGAGAAAGCCAGTTTCAGGATACTCGAGTCCATTTTTTTATTGTTGGTCTAGTTCGGAAAGTTGTCTGGATTGAAATATGTTACATTTCACCTATCTCAATTTTGAAAATATGAAAAATTTGAGGGGTTTTTAAAATTTAAATTATAAATTAATAGTATAAAAAAGAGGATAACTTTATATGTGCTAATTTTTTATCATGTAACTTTTTATATGTATAGGTGCAAATATTGTATACATTTTAGTATTTTTTGAAAAAAATCTATAGAACAAATTGAAAAGTGCTAAATTTTTAATAATTTAGAAATAATTTTGACCCAAAAATAATATTTTAGTACATTTAAAGCTTTAGAATAATGTTTTGAGTAAGCTATGATGAAATTCTCAAATGATGAAGTTTTACTAGTCGTTGAATTTATTACCTGTTGATAAAGCATTATATAATTTTCAAAATTTTATTATTTATATTTCATTTATTCCATGCAATTATATCTACACTTTTTTACTTGAAATGTGTGATTCTTTAAAGATTCGATATTGGAGGAAGTTTTATTATGTTGAAAGCATGAGGAGTCATAAAAGCCTGAATAGTGAATTCTTTAATAGCGGGGACTTATAAATGCATGTTTTCTAAAATGCTGGCACAAAAGAGTCGTAAGACCCTGAATTTTGATATATATTTCTGATGAGAAATATAAGGGTCTAAGAGAAATGTCTTATTTTTACACTAATATATAAAATGCTTGTTTATTTACTTGCAGTGTAAAGTCAAATTGATCTATGTTATATGTTAGAATTGCTCTAACTAGTACAATAACTTGCTAATACTTACTTTTTAATTTTATAAATGTATAATGTGTTAAATATTAAACATTTAGATAAGTTAGTGTGGTCTGCTTAGTGTTGCTGGCTTACATCTATTTTGTATTATATTTCATGTTAGAGAAAGGGGAAAAGTCAATTGAGTAGGTAAGATTGTAGCTTCTAATATATTTGAATTTTTATAGGAATTTTTTTTATTTTTGTATAATCATGACTTTTTTTATTATGATATATAGCCATATACTATTGTTGCGTCCAGGAGTATTCGCGAAGGGTAGAGGAATATAAAGTTTATCATCTTAGCATTGTACGAAAATCCGGCACACAATCAGATAAGAGAGAGGGTCTAATATTTATGAGACACCAAAATTTTTATGTGGAAAACCCCTGAAAAGGGGGAAAAACCATGGGGCCTAGCCCAGTTTGAATGAATCCACTAGTATTGCAGTCGATTACAAATGAGGCCCTTCCTTGGGAGAAGGCCTTAGCTTGATGTACATTTTATAGAGTACATTACATGATGTGAATACAAAGAATCACTATTGGCATGTTCGTTTGGTCGGGAGGACCGTAGTTAGCGGGCGACGGAGGTCGGAAGGCTTGTAGTCGGTGGGAGACGTAAGTCAGGAGGACCGTAGTCGGCTAGCGACGGAGGTCGGAAGGACTGTAGTCGGAGGGCGACGTAAGTCAGGAGGACCGTAGTTGGCGGGGGACAGAGGTTAGAAAGATTGTAGTCGGCGGGCGACATAAGTCAGGAGAACCATAGTCGGTTGGCAGCAGAGGTCAGAAGGACAGTTGCCTTGCGAGGGAGGTAGGAAGGATTGTGTCTGACGATGAAGGTCAGAAGGACGGTGTCAGGTAGAAGTCCAACAATGGAAAGAAATCCATATTCGGATATACATCCAACGAAGGTCCGATAACCGGTAGAAGTCCAGCACCCGGTAGAAACTTGGCGAAGAGTGAAGGCAGGTGTCAGGTAGAAGTCCGACGTTTGGTAGACGAAGAGAACTCCGGCCTCACTTGGGCGGAGTTTCGGCGTTAGGAGGGAACTATGTCGTTAATTGAGAAGAATTTCCACATCCCGTGGAAGTTGGGAAGAATTCTGGCGTTCTCCCAAATATCCGGCAGAATCCCGGCGTGTTCGTGCGGCAGGAAGAGCTCTGGCGGTGGTCGAGGAGGAGCTTCTTCCTTCTCCTCATTCTTCTCTTCTTCTTCTCTCTCTTCACTTGAGTCCCTTTGGTGTAGAATGAGGGCTCTATTTATAGTTTTTCTGGAGTGGCATGGCCCGTAAATAGGCATGAGATCAAGGGCGAATTGGGAGTGTTTTGAATGGACGACCGATATCGAATCCTTTGATCATGCACCGTTCGTTGGGCATTTGAAGGCCTTAATGATGTCGGAATTCAGCAATCTTGGGCTCGTTGGATTTATCTCGTCGATCCGTTCGATTCGAGTATAATCTCGTCAAAATCGGAGACTGTTTGGTAACTTAAATTGCGGTTTGAACCGTCCGATATGATGAATTTAAATACATTATAAATTATCTGTCAATGGCTATAGTAAGCAATCATTGGCTGCCAATTATACTCGTGCTCATTGTCACTTGCCAAGTTGCCATTTTTCACCCCCGCCTTTGGCCAACATCACTGATCGTTGCCATTGCTTGCCGCTTGTCGCCATCCACCAACATCTTGTCACCATTTTTCACCCCCACCATTGGCCATCCACAAGGGGTGTAAGGTCGTCAAGTTGACTCATGAGCTAGCTTAGGCTCAAATTGATAAATGGCTTGTGAGCCAAGCTCAATGAGTTAACGAGTTAAGCTTGAGACAACCCTAACTCGACTAGTTAGCTCGTAAGCTTACTCATTTAAAAAATATTAATATAAAATATACTGAAAGTATATTAAACTCAATATTTTAAGTGCTAAATTATTAAAAATGTTTGAAAATTATATCTTACTTTACTATATATTAAGTTATTGTTTATTATTTTTCTTATAATTTATCATTCTTTTTATCATTTTATTATAATAATTATTTAAATCATAATCATTTTCTCTCCTTCATAATAAACGAGTTAGCTCGTGAACCGACTTGAACTCATTAAATAAAGCTCAAACTCGTTAAATTAATCTCAAACTCGATTAATTAATTAAATCAGGCTCAAGCCAAAAGTAACTTGAGCTCGATTTGACTCATTTAAACCCCTAGCATTCCCTGCTTGCTAGTTGTCTATCATCATAGACTATTGCTCATCGCTAACAACCATCGTTGCTGGCCCATCCATGCAAATATATAATTTTTTTTTATAAATTTAATCTACATTACATAAATTTTATACTTTATATTGCATTCATTTATTTGATTTTGGCTTGATATTTGAATATAGTTAAATCACTAATCTGCATACTTAATGTGAATTGTAGATTGATGATCCCAAAGCTGATTTAAGCTATTTATAGAGTGATCATTTTTGATCTATATTTAATAAATCAATTGAAATATAATACAATTTACTGTAGGATCTATCGATGCAACGGATTTCCAAAAATCAGCCTTTAATTTTATCCACCTAGGGTTTCTTAGACCGTCTCGTGCTGGTAACCTGATCCGACACGATTCGGCACCGCCACCTAGGGTTCCCGACAACCTCACTTCCGGCACCGAGAGAGATAGAGAGATAGAAGATCAATGGGAGTGCCGGCGTTTTACCGATGGCTTGCGGAGAAGTATCCTATGGTGGTAGTGGACGTGATAGAGGAGGAACCAGTGGAGATCGAAGATGTCAAGATACCCGTCGATACGTCGAAGCCGAATCCAAACGGACTGGAATATGATAATCTGTATCTCGATATGAATGGCATCATACATCCTTGCTTCCATCCAGAGGACCGCGTAAGCAACAACGCGCCTTCTTCTTTCTCTCTTAATTTCTTCATGATTGTCTTGGTTTCCCTATCATTTGGTTTACTTCAGGTGAGAAGTTGGTTACCTTGCTTTTCGTTTTAGTGATCGATCCAGAGTGGGGTTAAAGGGAAAATATACAATCCTTACGAGCTAGTATCTGAATTTGGGCAAACTAGGATTTGTCGGTCAAATACCCATGTTATTAATTTAATCATTATGAATTCTCATGTTTACCCTACAATATAGCACGTAGAACACTATGTTGGATCATGAACTGTTGTGAAATAGCAAGGATCGAACAACAAATGTAAATGAACTAAACGTATCTTACAAGCTTGGTCTGCGGCACTACTCATTCAATCAAAATTGAACTCAATACTTATACGGTAACATATCAACAGTAGTAAATGAATGAATTGAATGTCTATAGAAATTAGCCTTCCTACGATGGCTGCTTCTATAAGTAAGCTCAGACAGGCATTTTGTGATAACATGTGCAATCTGCTTGGTTCGATACTTAGTTAAATCTACCGAATATTAGTGAATTTAGGGTTAGATAATCTCTGGAGATCAAAATAGCATTAGAATAATCAGTGTTTAGCATGCGCAGCTATGTGTTTGGTACGAGCATAGTTGCGATTTGTTTGATAGAGCTAATTCTGATTCACAGGTAGGGTGATTTCGGATCACAATTCATTAAACAAGCTCACTTAGCTAATTCAACCACCTAATTGATACAAATATACTGTTTGCCTGGATTTGATCCTTAAATCAATCCTCATCCCAAATTAGTCCTGAATCAAGCAAACCTTCCTGCAACATTTTTAACTATTCTGCAGAATCTCACACTTGTTCAACGTGTCTTTCCCATTAAATTGCTTAGGTTTTATTTTACGAAGCTTGTTGTTTGAACAAAATTGAGATTCTTTTTTTATTTTTTCAAATGAGATAAAATTTCAATTGTTATGCTGCATCACTAGCTTTTTATTTTGTCAATTTTAATTTTAGTTAGCCTCATAATTTTCAGAAATTCTAAATATAATTAATTAAAGATAAAGCAGTTGATGTAATTATTTTATGTAGATTTATTACCATATATTTGTGTGTGTGTCTATATATATATAATGAGCATCTATAAATTTTTTGTTTTTTTACTTTATATAGTTTATTATTTGGTTATGAGTAAAGTTAAATGAATAAATATAATATTTATGTTTTATTTGGCTTAACTGAGATTAATTTTGAGATGCTACTATCTGAAATGTTCAATTTGGATAAAAGTAATACTTATGCGCTATATAGCAAATAAAGATTTTGCTTTGTTTGGTGCTAACATTGATAATTACAGCTACAAGTATGATACTCCATGCATTGATGATAATATTTTTTGAAAGCAGTTTGTATGTGTTCATATGAACTAGTGCTAATTGCACATGCACATAAGAGGATTTGTTTATGTTGGGTTGGTTATTTTGGGTCTTAATACTCAAAACTTGTTGTCATTGTGCAAAAACCCATAATTATTTGATCAAAGTAAAAGTGGTTTGATTTTTTTTTTTTAACAATTGAAATCGATTCAAAATACCCAATTTGAAACTGTTTCACCTGGCATGAAAATTCAACATCTCAACAATGTAAGTTACATTTTTATGAATGCAGTGTATTTCCTTTTCAAGTTATGATAAATAAAATTTAATAGCGTCATGAAGAAAACATTGCTTTTGGGTGTAGATTTTGGTAAATTGTGCTCCGAGGACTTATGATGGGGATCTAATTCTATTGTTTTGGAATTAAATAGATTTATTTTTTATTTTTTATATATTGTTTTACAAACCATGAAGATTGGAATTTTTTTTCATCATTATTAATAAAATTAGGTTGTTAATGAATAAATATCAAGCCAATCCAACCTTGTCTCAAGATTGGCGTGAGGTCATGCAATATGATCTTAGGTTGGGCCAAGCCAATTATAGGTTGGCTTGGACTAAATTCGATTTGTGCTAGACATGGCTAGTTAAGTAGATGTAAAAAAATGTTTTTGCCCAATTATTGCCAGAGGTCTTTGCTATCCTAAGATAAATTCAAATATAAGTAGTTGCAAAAAAATGTTTGTACTTTCATTCATACATGCATGATGCATCCATGTACATTTCTATCCAATCTCGAGCTTAATTGATTCGATCCATGTTCTAACTATTCAAGCTTAATGCAAGTTAGGCTTTTTTCTATTCTACTCATTGACCTTGATCCAGTGTAATTTTAGTCAAGCAATGATGCAATTTTTGAGTGATCTTTGACCTTAGAGCTAAATTCACAGCCCTAAATAAACCATATTTTATGCCTAATGAGATTTCAGTATAATAGAAGAATGTGTCTGGGTAGTTGGGTACATTTTAGTTCAAATAACATCCTCTTGCGGGCAACTTGGATATTTAAGTTCAGTTGAATTTATTCAGAGGGTTGAGATGTACTGCCATGGAGAATGATAGTGATAATATAACTTCATTGTATATAATTCTACCTTTTCTAATTTTACTTGTGATTTGTTTGTTCGCTGCAAAGTAGAAGATTAAATATGGGAGTAAAGTTTAAGAAGCGTCACCTGAGAAGTTGTTGATTCTTCTAGAAATGAAAATTGGAAGTGCTTCTTTGTATTGTTTCAATGCATTTGAGTTGGCTGCAATGACTTTAAAGCTAGTGCCAAACTGCCAGTAGGAACTTGAAGGCAAGCTGAGGAGTGAAGTTGTAAATTCATTCTACTAGATATGGAATGGGAGAATCTCTCTCTATCTTTTTTCTGATGATTCTCAATTATTGGGGTTGGATGCTAAAGCGAGTTTAGCTTAACTGGGAATCAACTTGTGTTTTGTGAAGACCATAGTTATAGAGATGCACAAGGATATGTTGGTTGAGTGAGATGCTTGGTTTGCTACTTGTGAAAGTTGTAAATTTGATGTTAGAGTAGGATGGGTGATGAGTGAACTTTGAATGAGCTCCCCTTTGTTTTTTTATTATTTATTATTATTTTTATTTTAATGAGCTCCCCTCTGCTCAAGCTCTAAATTTAGGTTGACTTACGGTTGGTTCAGAATGGATATCAATTAAAGTTGTGTCCGTCTAAAATTTTCTAGTCGACTTTACCGTACATTTGGAAAGGGGTTTTTATGGGGTATTTGAACTGCAGTTAGTGTGCCATAATTAGCTTTCTTTAATGTTTAGTCCCTATTCATGCACATTGGCTATATCCATCTATTTGTAGTCACACACACATATAGACTTTGGAGGAGATGAGGGTCATGGGTAGCTTTGTGAAAAATGGTAAAAGTGGGGTCTTTGGCTCATGAAGCTATGCATGCTTGGGTTATCTCTAATCGTGCAGACAAATATAAAATTACCTGTTTTCTTTGGCTGTGCCTAATATAAAACCAAGTTCTATATGGATATTTCCTAGAACCAACCTGAACTATTGGAAAGTTTTCAAATACGCTTCAGTTTTTTTTTTCATTTTATTTGCTGTTTTGTATGAAAGAGTTAAATTTAAAAACTCTTATAGGACTACACTAATTTTTTCTTTTTCCATGGAATTTCTTTATAATTGTGTGCTTCTTGGTATGAGATTATTAAGTGGCTTCTTGGTATGAGATTACTAAGTTGTTCATTCTTAATCTCTCTCTATTTTTATAATCATGATCGTGGTTAATTGGCTTATGAGCCTTGGTGAATTGTTAAACTTAACAAGCTTTTATTTTTTCAACTAACTTGAGGAAAATTCTCTCACGTACATACAATTTTTTGTTTAACATGACTATATTTTTAGTACCTGTTGAATTCAATATGATGATTTTTTTTGTTTGCTTTTTAAACTTATTTCTTTAACATTATTTTTGACAGCCCGGCCCAACAAGTTTTGATGAGGTTTTCCAGTGCATGTTTGATTACATTGACAGGCTTTTTGTCATGGTACGACCTAGGAAACTTCTTTTTATGGCTATTGGTAAGTGTCTCTCTAAGTTTTCTTGCAACTAGTTTATGCCAATTCCTTGTGGATTATTTTATTTACTTGAGCTATGCTATAGCTGCCAGTTTTATTTGTTGTTAATTTATGCATTTTGTAACTGCTCTTTCTGGTCTGTTTTTCTTCATGGTGATCTGAAAATGCAATGACAGATGGCGTTGCACCAAGAGCTAAGATGAATCAGCAGCGTTCTAGACGTTTCAGATCAGCTAAAGATGCAGCAGATGCGGTGGGTGTAGTTGTTTGTCTTATTTTGTGCTTTATACTATGCTTGAGTTCATGATGTAGGTACTTGCCTATCACTTGGGGTAAGAAACATGAGTTCGCTCAACTAATATGTTATTAGCATTGCTATTATTTGGTTGAATAACCCTGAAATAAGGATTCTAGCAAATATTCAGATAATCTGGGCTGACCTTTCCTATTAGATTTAAGGCATAAAGTTTAACTCAGTGTTGCTCGAGTTTCAAACATTTCTTTTTCTATCTTCCATATTTGGGCTTTTTATTATATTTTAAAATATTTGGTGAGGGTGGTTCTTCAGAAGCTTTTTGAGAATGAGAAAAAAGAAAGATTTTGAATGGAGGGAAATGTAATGTAATAGTAAGACTTGCTAAAGAAATCTGTTTTTGAAGGGTGTCTTATGCTAGCATTTAAGAACATTCTTTAAAAATTTTTTTGGGAAGTATGGAAAGATAACGAATTTTAATGCTTGCAGAACAATGCCATGTGTTGTTTTACTGGAGATCAACTGCTGGCATGATATTTATTGTGCTACGGTGCGTGTATAGATACTTCTTATGTGCTGATAAAATATTTGCAGCAGAAAAGTGCCAGTAATGTACGTGATTAGAGTTAGATGGGGAGGGAAGCGGGAACGCCATTTGTTCCTTTAGAACAAATTTTTACTCATCAATCACTCTGTGTTATGCCTGAAAATTTTAGGCTGTTTTATTTTTATAGAACTTTAGAAATATCGTGTGATGATAATGTTTGTCTGATTGTCTATCCATGTAATTGGAAGCATGGTTTTTCAGAGATAAGCAATAGTAGCTATTTTTTTGAAACCTTTTACTTTAGGATTATAATTAGTTCTGTAATTGGTAGAACTTTATGCAGTATTTATTGTTAATTGCTACAAACTCAGGTGCTATGATTTAGGGTGTAAAAAAACTGGTCATAAGGAATACACTTAGTGGCTGAGAGTACATGTAACTTAGCCTAAGACAAACACTGTTTTGGTTCCCATTTCTTTGTTTTGGTTACATGTGGTGAAATACAAATAACATATGGCAATTGCATGGGCCACACAAGCAAATTTTTTTGCATATAAATTTTATGTGTGACATCAAGCTTAACTGTGCAAATTCTTCCTAATTGGTTATTAGAATTTTCGTAGTGATACTGATTAAAAGTTAAGCTTTGCTTTAAGCTATAGTGGGTTTGGATATATGAGCTGTTTCGTCCTAGAAAGTTTTCTATTCCAGAGTTTGGGTAGAGGTAATGGCTTAATTTCTGTATTATGGATCTAATTATTAGAAATATATGTGTTTGTATGCATTCATTTATTAGTAGAATTTGTTTACTAATTGTTTGAATCTGGTTATTAGAAAGCGTTTAATAGGCATTTTAGATATTTCTCTTAAGGTTGAAATGATGAGGAAAAAAAGGAATAAAGAATACATATGGTCCTTACAAAAGATTAAGGTGTAATACTTAAAAGTTGGAAGAGTAAAGAATAAGTATAGGTCAACGCATGGACCTCTTGTTAATTTTCCCCCTTTTTTTTCCTTACCATGTAGGCTGCTGAAGAGGACCGATTGCGGCTAGAATTTGAGAGGGAAGGAAGAAAGCTTCCACCAAAGAAGGAATCAGAAGTTTTTGATTCAAATATTATTACTCCTGGGACTGAGTTTATGTCTATTCTGTCTGTAGCACTGCAGTACTACATTCATCTGAGGCTAAATTATGACCCTGGTTGGAAGCATATAGAAGTATGTGCATAGAGAGTTCACTTCTCTCGTAGCTTGGATCTCTTATTCTTGTCAGTTTTACACCTGACTTTACTCCATATGTTTATGGTTAATGTGGTTAAATACTAAATTATTCTTATAACTAATTTTATTGAAGGTTATACTTTCTGATGCAAATGTTCCCGGTGAAGGGGAGCATAAAATTATGTCATATATCCGCCTTCAACGAAATCTGCCTGGTTTTAATCCTAATACTCGGCACTGCTTGTATGGTCTGGTATGATCTTTTCTGATTGTGGATTTTTTCTTTTATGTATTATGGGATAAGAGATGCTTACCTGATGCATGTATTTGTGTTAAAATCTGAGTGATTGGTGAGCATGCTTTGATATTGGTTTTTAAATGATTGTCTTTTTGCGCACATAGTGTATTTCAGTATGAAATCTATTTCAATTATTTGAGCATCTAATAGATATTTTTTTCAATATTTATTTCTTCAAAATTTTGGCTACTTAATGTATTTTTTCTTGTTGATCACAGTTATATAATCCTTGTATTTAAGTCTTGGTTGGCTGAAATTTGTAATGTATTTCTGTGAAATATTCTTGCTTTTAGAAACATGTAGTTTTTTTTTTTTGGTTTAGCCTCGAAATATTTGGAATGTTCACTCTTTGACGACAACCCAATCAGCTACATGAAGATATACAGGCAGTGAGAAAATGGTGGATATGTTAGGAGGACAATCACTCTTTATTATTTTACAAAGACTTCCATTAAGAAACAAATTAATTTCAATAAATTGAAAAATAGCAAAGATACAATGTTCTGGTGAAAGATAGATTGGTATGTGAATTAGATATATGTGAAAAGATATATCGAGCAACTCAAAGATGAAAAAACAAAAAATGTCTTTGACAGTTAATTTTTTAAAGTTGTTATATGTATATCGACGGTTAAAAATACTACATCTTGGTTCCGATGAAAAAATTGCAATGTGCTGAATAGGGATATATATGAAGCAAGTTACGTACCTCTAGTATGGGGAGTGGAAGTGAGGGAAAGAGATAAGATATAGGGTTAGTTTTTTTATCATTTTTATTTTTGTTTCTTATTTTATTTTGCTTATGTTCTAATATGGAATTAAAATATGTTTGATATCTTAAGCTGTTTTATTTTTCTTGGATATTACTTGAGTCGATTTGTTTTGCGGTTTGGAAGAGGATGGTGGTGCCATGGCTGGAGATGTTAGTGGACCTAGGGTTGCAAGTGAACCAAACATTTGACGAGCTACTCATTGCTTAGTTCGATTAAAGCTCGTTTGTGATCGTTTAACCAATTAAACAAACAAACTTGAACAACATTTTTAATACTCGATCTTTAAATAAACAAGCTTGAACACTAATGTGTTCGGTTTATTTATGTTCACGAACAACATCATTTGAAGCTTGTGAACATGCTTGACATTAAGCTTGATAAGAAGCTCGATTCGTGTTCGATTCAGAACTCGTGAATAAGCTCGATAAAAACTTGATCAATATTTAATTATAAAATTGATAAATAGACATAATATAAATATTTGAATTTATTATAACATAAGGATATAATTATTTTTAATTAATAAATTTTAAAGTAATTAATTATTATAATATATGTTTTAGTTTTAATTTTCTTACAATTGCTAATTTATTATATTACATCGTTAGATCTTGATCATTTGATAACTTAAGAATACTTGTTAGATTTGTTCATGAAAATGCTTGTTTGATAGTTTAAAAAAATTCTCTAAATATGTTAACGAACAGAGCTAGTTAAGGCTTGTTTGTTTAAAGCTTGTTAAGCACTCAAACAAACGAAACATGAACCAAATACGAACACCATTAATTTAAACGAACCAAACATGAACAAAAACAATAAAGCTCGAATCAAACACGAACCGAACTTGAACAAGCTAATAATTAACGAACTTAAACATGAACACTCATATACTCGACTCGGTTCGGTTCGTTTCGTTTGCAGCCCGAGGACCAGGTGAAAATTTACTATGTTTTGGTTTTGTGGTTGGCTGGCAGCAGGCATGAGGTAGGGCTTGAAAAATAATGAAAACACCTAAAAATTGTTTTGTGTGCTTTTGTAAACAACTTGATTTGCTAAAAAAATAATTAAAAAACACATTTAAACACTATATGCTTGTTTTGTTTGAATTTGAAGTGAAATGAAAAACAGAAAACATAAACAAAAGGTGATGCTAAACAAACACTTAGTAATTCAAAATTTGCAATGCTGTGTAAGAGAGTAGATACCCTAGGTTTATGGGTTCTTTAATGTGAGTGATAACTATCAATGAAATGCTGAGGCCAATTCCTGCATTAATCTTCCTCATGCTATTAAGCTCTCTTTTTGGTATCAAACTTGTATCTACTTCTTGCTTTTTGTAATTTTCTTTTACCGAGAATGGCTGTACATTTGTTACAGTAGGAAATTGCGTAGAAAGTTGAGGTCTTATTTGTCACATTTGTTTTACTTGAAGTCTTCACCAGAATGTTTAATATTTATGTCCTTAGGAACATAAATGGCAGCTCAATTTATCCTACTTTTGAATTTCTGTTATCCCTGAATAAAGTGGTTCAATTCTTAGTTGTTCTAATATTGTGTTAATTAACTTTTTGCTATAATTCCATTTCATATTTCTTTGGTATGTGGCATACAGTTAAAGATGAAAATTTTGTTTTACTGTTTCTACGGTGTTTACATTTCCAGTTTTTTGTCATATTATTGATTGTTTTGGCATCGTATTAACAGCAATTTGGAACACAATCTTCTATTTACTCCCGGAAATGTTGTGTTGAGTATGTGCAAGTTTTAAAGGTTTACCTTTTATTTGAAAAAAAAAAGGTTGTATGGAATGCATGAGCTCACTATAATTTGTGAACGGGTACAGGATAGATGCAGCCTTACCCTTGCATTATGGAGAGGCTTGGCATTTGATTTCCATCTGCTTTTATTCAATCCTCTCGATTCTAACATATCTTCAAGATCTAAATTTGTTGTTCATTATAATGGTCATGATTATTGTATTGACTATTTAGCATTTGATTTCTTTGTCCAATTTGTTTTCATTATTGTTTATACTAAATTTGGTGTTAATTCGAATGTACATTGATGTTACTGAATAATTTCTGGCCATACTTTTTAGTCCTTTTTCTTTCACAGACTTATGTTTTAATTCTAGCTCTCAGCCTTTTAACTCACCCTTTTTTCCTATTATACGTTTTTTTTTTCTATTTTACTTGGCCGAATAATGTCAATCTGTTTCTACTGTCTTATATTTCTGTTTTTGGATTTTTAACCCAGTATTTAGGATTAAAACTGATGTTATTGATACAAGTTTCATTTTTCTCTTCCCCCATAAATTCAGAATTTGATTGTGGTGGAAAAAATGTTATTTCCTGTTCCAGCTCTTAATTCTTATAGTACTCTGAAACAGAGTATTAGTACAGCTTCGATTCCATTTGATATCGTTATTATGTATAAGTTTCTTATCTTTTAAAGTGTTATACATTGGTTTAATTTTTGCACAGGATGCAGATTTGATCATGTTAGCTCTGGCCACGCATGAGGTGCATTTTTCAATTTTGAGAGAGGCAAGTGCTATCTTCTTTTGTTTTCTTTTACGTAAATAACTTAATTATGCTTCTGTGACAGAAACGGCTGCTTATACACCTCTTTTTTATCCATCTGATTCCTAACATTCTTTTCAGTTGCTTTTTTTTATCCATCTCACTCCTCCCCTTTTGGCTTTTGATTAATACATTTTGGAGCTGGCCGACATGTAATTTTTAGTTTATTTTGTTTTATCATGGATTTTATATCTTCAATGCGATTTTTTTTGGATTGTACATACGCATCTTAGCTGAAATCCTATCCCAAAATATGCACTATGATTTTTCTTCAAATGCAAACCTTCATGACCCCACTGGAAACTTACCTGCATAATCGCTTGGCAATATTAGATTGTCTTCACTCCTGGACAGCAAGACAAATGCTTCTTATGTGGCCAGATGGGCCATTTAGCAGCCGATTGCCAAGGAAATGCCAAAAGAAAATCCGGTGAATTTGATGAGAAGGGTGATAGCGATGTAGTTGCAAAGAAACCTTACCAGGCATGTCAATTATTAGATTTAATCAATCATATAGTTTATGTAAGCTGTCATTCATTTACCTGATTTCTGTGATATTGCAGTTTCTCAACATCTGGACTCTTCGAGAGTATTTGGAATATGAATTTAGATTGCCTAGTCCTCCCTTCGAGGTGGATTTTGAGCGAATAGTTGATGATTTCATCTTTATGTGTTTCTTTGTTGGAAATGATTTTCTTCCACATATGCCAACGCTGGAAATCCGTGAGGTTTGTTGTTCATGTGAAGCATTAATGTTTTTAAGTTTGTTGCATATATAAATGTTGAAAAATCATACCTCAAGTTCTTGTTCATTCAATGTCAAAGAAGCTATATTTTCTTCCAGCTTCTGAAAAACCAATGATGCGGTCTTATCAGTTGCATTTTCTGTTGCCCACGACCTTCCAATTTTACTCAGTTTAAGCACTTCTGTAGCAAATCTATAGTGTCTCTTAAGTTTCATTTGGGATAGCTTTTGTACTATTTTGTAAAGCTGCTGTAGAGAAAATAATTTTTTAAGGTTGTAGAAAACATCTTCCTTCTACAAAATTTTTTTGGAAGCAGCAAAATATAATGGTCAAACATAAATATGATCTAAAAAGTAAAACAGTAAGAAATTTGTCCCAAATGAAGCCGTAGTCACTCTTGCTCTCGATTCTCCCTGTTGAAAGCTGCACCACCCTTAGACACGCATGGGCATGCACATATATGCAGACTTGCACACATTTCTGTCTGACCGAATGCTCAGCTACCTCTCTTCTCATCTTAAGACCTTGCTCAACGAAGCAGATGTGGTGCAGTACTCAACCAATGGCCTCATACTTCCACAACATAGCATTTGGTTAAATGTTTCCAGTTGAAGCTTGATTCTCTACTCATTTTATGATGCATCTCTCTAGTAGAATATGGTTTAGCTAGAGTTCTCTATCTATGTATATTAGATGATATTTCATGTCCGTGTGATGTCTTCTATCGTGCCTTGGATTATGGCCTCAGCATTTTTATCATTTAGCTTATGCTTGACTAACAGGGCGCAATAAATTTACTTATGGCTGTTTATAAGAAGGAATTTAATGCCATGCAGGGCTATTTGACAGACTCATGGAAGGTATGTGGTTTTGTATACTTTCTACATTTAATATAGACAATTCTGACTTGGCACATGGTGGTATATTCTGCTGTAGTAGTGACATGGATTCTCTCTTATTACCAGCCGAATTTGAGCAGAGTTGAGCATTTTATTCAGGCAGTTGGGTCTTATGAGGATAGAATATTTCAAAAGAGAGCTCGCTTACATCAGGTATTTTTAATAACTAGTTAGGGGAAAATATCATTTTTATCATGCATATTTATGAAGCTCATTTTATTGATGAAATACAAATCACTTTAGAATTATTGCTGCTGTCAATGAGGATACTTGTGCCATGTTATCGGTGTGTTGCAATTTCGAGGTTGATTTTAAAATGTTATTTTATTGGTGTGTTGCCTTGGGCAAATTATTGGGTCAGGTGACCGGAGCCAAAAGATAAGTTCGGACAGCCAATAAAAATTTGCCGCGTCACCTTGCGCTTTTGTTGCGCTTTTTGACTTGCGCTTTAGTTGCGCTTTGGTTGCGCTTTAGTTGCGCTTTAGTTGCGCTTTAGTTGCGCTAATTTTAAAATAATATTTTATTATTATCCGAACCTATCTCTGCGTTCGGTCACCTGACCCAATAATTTGCCGTTGCCTTGTTAGTTTCAACTGTAACTACCGTTGGTGGGCTAAAAGTAATAATTTCCTACACATTCTTATTACAATTCTCTGAACACAATCATTGTTTTTTTTATCAAAATGTTATCAAGTGCAAGACCCGCATGTAACTAGAGAGGTGTAAGGATTTGATTCTTAATGCTCTTTGTGATGTGAGGCGCAATTCAAGTGCCCTCTACTTCCTCGTTGATTCAGTTTAAGAAGAGGAGCATGATATTCTTCTTGGCAATCCAAAAAGGGAAAACATATTTAGAGTAGGTGTGGACCCCAAGAGAGAAAGAGAGGAAGACAGGAGAGAGAATTCAGAAAGTTATTCATTCCATAATTAATTTCTTACAATAAGAGGGTATTTAAACTAATTGAGTAGACTGGTTTTACAGTAAATAACTGGTCTATAAAACAAAAAAGACTAAATATAACAATATAGCTGAATCGTGGCCATCGATCGGCGATGCTTCCGGCGATATACGTGTCTGAACCGTTGATCGATGACCTCATCAATATATATATATGTATATAGCATTAATACTAACATATGTTAAAATAAAATAAATAAAACTAGTGCTTGCTAGCTGAACCATGTGTGTAAACCTAATGGCGTAAACCATTTGTTTGGTAATTTTTTGGCCGAAGATGGGCTGCTGTCTTTTTCGGATTATAGTGCCGATGTTATTTGGTTCTTTTTTCTTCTTTGATAGACTAAATATATTTGGTTCTTTTTTCTTTTTGATAGACTTTTATGTTTGTAGTTCGCTCTTCCATGATCTAGAGCATGATCGTAGATCGAGTTTCACTTTGTACAGTTTTGAGATCCAATAAATTGTGTTGATGTCTAACAGAGTGCCTTGGATTGTGTTTCCAACAGTTCTTTTGCTCCATAGTCCAGTGATTCTGCTGAGCACTTTCTTTTAATATTAGATTGCTAAATGTGTTTTTTTTTTTAAATTATCTCTAGGTGTTACACCTGGTTTACACTATGTTTTTAAATGGTATAATGATGTTATTAATTAGATCTATTAGAACCATATTCTTTTTGCTCTGAGTTTTTTTTTAGTAATTTTAGTGATCTAATTATTCTGTATCATAGTTCATTATGAAGGATAGGAAATTGCTGTTCATTTTCTTTAGCGTCAAGTTTTTGTTTTCTGGTTATGAATTTTATGTTATTATTTTATTTCTTATTTGATGTATCATATTTATTTGACTTGGGTATCTTTAAAGAGTTGTGATACAAGTTTTGTTCTTGTTATATCATAGAATAACGTGGAAGGTGCAATATTTACCTCAGTAATATGTTTTACAAATTTGCTTGTGAGTGCTAGATCTTATATATCATAACATTTGGTTATTCTGTCTTAAGTTTATTGTTGAGCCTTGAAGTAATTTTGAATATTTTATGATATGTCCCTGTTCTTGGTTGCTAAAATGCTACAGGGACTTTTACTTAAGATTTTTTTTTGATAGATTGACACTTCATTTGTAAAGGAAATCACCTCTCTTATCATTTCTTTACTTACGTGTGATAAGGATGAAAGACCAGCACAAGTAAAGATATGGATCCTAAAAAATGAACAAAAATGATGAAATACTAAAAAATGTTGTATATATAAAATAAATTCACAATGAACAAAAATGATCATAAAACTGAAACTATTCTTGTTGCCAACATTTTCATCCTATGATTAATATGACGAAATGCTATAAAAGTTAGATTTTAAAATTTGCCACTTTCTGTACTTTAAATATCTGCCGCTTTCTGCACTAGAGATTGGTATATCACCTTATTTTATAGGTTAGTAAGATGGATTTGATCCCTTGAATACTCCGATCACTTTTACTTTTATAGGCAACCTAAATAATGATTTTACAATTTATAAATAATTACTAACTTAGAAATAAATTTATGATAGACCCAAAAATTAAAATCTTACCTCAATTAAACTTCTCTTTATTCAAACCAGATTCCTTACCTAATCCCTAGCCTCCTCCTCCTTATTCTTTCTTTTTCCTTCCCTCTTTCTTCTCTTCCTTTACCGATTTTAGAGATTTAGCCATGACAGCCCTTAAGGCGGCCTCCCCTCTCGCTTCCTATATGCATCGTGGCTTTGCACTCGGCAGGCAGCTGCTTTGATTTCCAGAGACCAGTTACGGGTGGAATAATGAATGGGGAAATGGTTTAATAATTAACTAATATATAAATTAGTTATAATATAACTCCAACAACTTTTCATCCATGTGATTGCCGCACTAATCAGATCAGCCACTGCATGAGCTGGTACGTGAAAAATCTTTTTTGCTACTGTAACTTAAACTGAACCCCATTACTTTTAAATTTTAATAAATGATCAGTATAATTTTCTAAGTTTGAAATTAATTAACAATTTAATTTATAGAAATAATCTGTTTCTATTTTCACACACACACACATATATATATATATTCTTGGGGAAACTTAAGCTTACCTTTAATAAACATTTTGTGTATTATAAAATTATGTGTGAGGGATCTTTCATAGACTAATCTTATTGTTAGTATTGGAATTTATTGTTGAAACGATCCATGTATGCAATGTCGGATTAAGTTGGCTATCCTTTTAAACTTAACTTTTAGTCATGTGATTTAACCTAAGCTAAGTGCCTTTTTTATATTTATCTTGTCGTTCAATTCCGCATAAGATCTTGTTTATTATTGTGCTCTCAAAATTAAGCGTGCAAATTCATTAATTAGCTCATCTTCGCATGTACGTTTCACATCAGACTTATTTCATTTATAACTTTTCGGAATTATAATCATTTCGAATGTTCTATTGAATCTTTTTTCCTGTGAGAAAGGAACCCTTTTCACTGGGTGAAAGTTTATGGTACTATATTTGATTCCGTTTCATCATCAGGCGTGCTGCTTTGATTTCAAGGATAAATTCTACGTTACATAGCGCGAGTTTTGTCACTGTAGAAATTGTTCACTAATGATGTTTCTTACAACCTACTTTTGTGTGCTTTCTTATATGACTGTGTTTTTTTCTTTAATCTTTCTGGCCCAGATAACATTATAAGAATGTTAAAATATTTACAGATTTAATATCAGCTTGTTTTCTTTTAAACATTCTCCTGACTTTTGCTAGCGTCAAACGGAAAGGATCAAACGTGAAAAAGCACAAGCAAGGCGAGGAGATGATATGGATCCTCAAGTGAACCCTGATCAGATAGTGGCTATAAATCGCTACAAGGGTTCACGTCTTGCTTCTGGGGCTTCCCCTTCCCCATTTCAACAGATCCAGTCTTCTTACAAGTCCCATAATCCACAGCTTAGAAGAGAAGGCAGAGAATCTGGGAAAGCTACTTCAGAAATATCTAAGTTTAAGACCAACAAAAGTGTTGTGCCTGAGAATGCAGGTGTTAATGTTCGAGCACAAAAGGTTGCTCGCATTTCGACAGAGGGTGCAACTATTGGGAGAGCAATTGTTGAGGCTGAGAACAGTCTTGAAGTCGAAGTAAGTTTATCATTGCCAATTATCGGATTTATTTATTTGCTTTTTTTTCAGTTTTTTCTACAAAATGTTTCTTATGTTCTATGTTTTGGGGATCATATTTGTTGATTTTCATTGAGTTTGTTTACTTTTGATCTACTAAACCATAGATGATTGAAAACAAGGAAGAGCTGAAAACAAAGCTGAAAGGACTGTTACGGGATAAATCTGATCTTTTCAACACTGAAAATCCAGAGGAAGACAAGGTTTGATTTTATAGGCATATGCATTTACTGTGTAACATCTAAATCAAATTCATTACTTAATTTAGACTGAAATTGACATCAAAATTCTGTATATACTATATACTATTTTTTTAAAGTCAAATTAAGCTTTTATTTCACCCGGATGTCTGCTAATCACCTCTTCTTTAATTCCTATTATTTTCTTATTAATTTCTGCTGAGCAACAGATTTGGCAAATTTATGAGGCTGACGAGTTCTTATTGGAATTGAAATATGCTTGATTGTGATTGTTCCTTGTTATTCCCCAGTGATATATAGCACTTTTATTTTGTAATTACTCTTTGCACTTTAATTAACATTATGTATCTGAATCGACAGTTCTTGAGATACTACTGGTAAAATTTCAATTTTGTTTTAGGTTAAACTTGGAGAGCCAGGTTGGAAAGAAAGATACTATGAGGACAAATTTTCTGCCAAATCCCCTGAAGAAATTGAGCTTATTAGACGAGATGTTGTAAGTCTTATTTGTAAATTTTATCAAATGATTTTTATGCTTGATTATTGAACGTGTTAAAATTTGGTTGTTGCTTCTTCTACTTCGTTAGTTTTGATGTCAGCAGTGGGCCCCTTCACTGGACGTTATTGAGAAAATATGCCTGAAATGGCTATTTTTTTTCCTTACATTTATGTCTATGCTAACCTCCTCTCTCAATTTACTGATTTCCCCCTTGAAGTCAGGTCTATGAAAATCTCATATAGCATTTTTATTGCATTAGTTGAGCGTACTGTATGTACGAGAGATTGAGAGGTTACTGTTTTGTCTGCCTTAAAAAGTAAATTATGCATAGTCATCAAACCAAAGCCAAAGCAAAATTTTACTTGTTTCTTGCTGAAACATGTAATTTTAGCCATTGTAAGCTAGCGGAAGAGGTTACTTTCCTGTTAAAAGTAACATTAGTTGATTTGGATAAATTTTTTCTTGATTTATTTTTTATGATAAGATGATCTTAAAGTTGTGTAAATTTGTCCGTTCTACTTGCATTCTAATTTAAACTTCAGTGTAATGCACTCTTGTTTCATTTTTCTTCTTGTTCCTAGAAAAGGTTGGAATAGCTCTAGTAGAAGATAAGATTAGAGAGAGTCGTCTTAGATGATTTGGTCACATAAAACGGTGGCCTTCCGATGACCCGGTTAGGAGAGTAGATGTATTAGATTTGACTTATGTTAAGAAAGGTAGAGGCAGACCTAAAAAACTTGGTTAGGAAATATTAGGAATGACATTTTTTTATTAGATTTAAACGAGAATTTGACTTTTAATAGGACATAATGGAGAAAAAAAATTCATGTAGCCGACCCAACGTAGTGAGATAAAGGCTTGATGTTGTTGTTATTGTTGCTGTTGTTTCTTCTTGTTCCTGGGAAGTTCTCATTCGTTCTCTTGGAATGAGCATGAAGTTTCTGCTCAAACTTTTAGGATGCAAGACTCTAGTTCTTGGCTTGCATGCATGCATGACCATGACGTTTTTTAAAATTTTTATCTTTTGGTTAGTTTTGAAGTTCTCCAGTTTCTAGATTATGGAATTTCATGCGTTTGATGCTGTCTAACCTTTTGTTTTAATTATTTAATATGTAATAATCTCAATAATTTTTATTCATTAGGTTTTACGGTATACGGAAGGATTGTGTTGGGTGATGCATTATTATTATGAAGGTGTTTGCTCATGGCAATGGTAAACACGAATAAGTCCTTAATTCCATTATTAATAGTTCTTGCACTATTTTTCTATTGCAGAGCTTTTTTTTTATTTGAATTTGTAATTGAAAAGAATGTAACCTTTATAAGTACAAAATTTGATATTTTCATTTTTAATTCGTTATACTGGGGTTTCTATTCAGAAGAGTGTGTCCATTTCCTATTTTTACTTTTTTATTATATGGATTCATTCTTCAATATACACTAGCTCTCTCTTCTGGTTATTGAATTCCCCTAAATATTGTGGTTCAACTTCTCAATTATATGATTTCCTTCTGCACCAAACACTTTGGCTGTTTCTGCTGGTTATTTAATTTTAGTACGTAATACCGTTCAATTTGGCATATTGGAAATGGGGTTTTCTCTGCAGGTACCCTCTAATTTTAACCTATTTTGCATAAAGGGCATGCAAATTACCCGCTTCAATGATTATTTGGAAGAAAAATCATTGAAGCATGATTGTTTATTGGACT